CCAGAGACTTTTAGCAATGACAGCAATGTAGTTACTACTGAAAAAAAGAAAAACATTAGAAGTAGTTATGTGGCCTTCAGATAAGGGCAGATCTTGTCCTCAGCCAATTCTGTTTCTTGACTCCGTTTTCTTCCCTGCCAGCTTCATTGTTTGTACACATTCCTTTGACATAGGAGAAAATAGCACCTTGGAAGCACCAGGCTTATCTAAGCTTGCAGCTTCAGAAGGAGTGTTCTCTCTTGGAATCCATATTATTCCCTAAAAAAAGGATTCCTGCTGACTTTTGCTTAGCTTATATGCTTGGGGAGGTAAAGTGCCCTGTCAGGCCAGTCTGGGTCATGACCTAATTTTGTTGCCAGAGAGATAGGCCTTTTGACTGAAAGTTTCACAGGAACCACATGGAGAAGAACATGAAGTTCTCAAAAGGTAGGTATTTGACATAGAGACAGAAAAAGAACAGTTGTCCACTTATACTCTTGATAGAAGCTGGGATGAAAGTCAGTGGGGGTGAACAGAAGGGGTGTTCTATATTTTAAGTCAGTTATAGGAATTCCATGGTAGTTTTGTAAAGTCATTCAAAATCCAGCATTGCCATTGGTATCGGCTTTTTGGAAGAGCAGTGTCACCTTTATATACTTGAAGAAAACCAAGGGCATAATTTTTAAATTGTGATAGTTCTATGAAGTTCTAAGGATAGACTGAACTCCTTTACATATATATTTTATCAGATGTGTGAGTTGAGCTTCGGTATATAAGAGATTCAAAACCCATACTTATCCAGTTAAGTTTTAGGTAAGAAGATTGGTGTTTTCCATACCAAGTTGACCCTGGAAGAACAGAATCAGTTTTCTTTAATGGTTATACCCCACTATCCACTGTTGCAGCTCCACTGTTTCATTGTCATGTCATTCATCACAAGGGGTTCAGCTCTGAGAACCTCCTATATCAGTAAGTAGTGGAGCAAAATGGCCATGGCCACACAGTGACACAGTAGTCATTTTATATCTCACAAATACTTTTTTATTAAAAAAATTTTTAATTGATGTTTAGTTGACATACAATATTGTATTAGTTTCAGATTGAGGGCAGGAGAAGAGGGCAACAGAGAATGAGATGGTTGGATGGCATCACCAACTCAATGGACGTGAGTTTGAGCAAACTCTGGGAATTGGTAGACAGGGAAGCCTGGTGTACTGCAGTTCATGGGGTCACAAAGAGTCGGACACAATTTAGCGACTGAACAAAAACAATACAACATAGTAATTTGACATTTATATATAATACAGATTGATCACAATGATATGTTTAGTAAACATCTGTCATCATGCAAAGCTGTTGCAGTTTTATTGACAATATTCCCTATACCATACATTTCATCACAATGACTTATTTATAACTGGAAGTCTGTACCTCTTAATCCCTTTCACTTATTTCGTCCAACCTTCCCACCCACCCCTAGACTACCAGTTTGTTCCCTGTATCCATGAGTTTGTCTGTTTTGTTTTGTTTGTTTGGTGTTATGGATTAGTTTTTAGATTCCACATGTAAGTGAGATAATATGGTATTTGTCTTTCTTTCTCTGACTTATTTCACTTAGCTTAATACCCTCTAGGACAATCTGTGTTGTTACAAATGGCAAGATTTCATTCCTTTTTTTATGGCTAGTATTTCATCATATATATGTATCACATCTTTATTGATTCACAGATACTTTCTTACACAATATACAAAAATAAACTAAAAATGAGTTAAAGACTTGATAAGATCTGAAGCCATAAGACTCCTAGAAGAAAACAGGGATATCTTAGCAGTATTTTTTGGATGTGTCTCCTCAGGCAAGGGCAATGATAAAAAAAAAAAGGGACTACATCAAACTGAAAAGCTTTTGCAGAGCAAAGGGAATCATCAACAAACAAGCAACCCACTGAGGGGGAGAAGATATTTGAAAATGATATATCTGATAAGGAGTTAATATCTAAATTATATCAATATCAAGAACTCAGACAGCTCAACTACAAAAAAAAATCTGATTCAAAAAATGGGCAGAGGAGATGAATAGACATTTTTCCAAGGGAGATATACAGATGGCCAGTATACACTTAAAAAGATGCTTAAAATCACTAATCGTCAGGGACATGCAAATCAAAACCATAACGAGATATCACCTCACACCTGTTAGCATGGTTATTATCAAGAAGACAATAGAAACAAATGTTGGCAAGGATATGAAGAAAAGAGAACCCTTATGCACTGTTGGAATGTAAGCTGGTGCAACCATTGTGGGTGATAGTTTGAAAGCTTCTCAAAAAATTAAAACTACAACAGCCATATGATCCTACAATTCCCCTCTGGGTATTTATCTGAAGAAAATGAAAACACTAAATCCAAAAAGATATATTCACCCTCATGTTTATTGATGCATTATTTACGATAGCCAAGATATTGAAGTAATTTATGTCTCACAAATATTGAAGAGAGTTGTGCTGAAGATACAGTTCCTAAAGCCATCTGTTATTTTGGCCTGTTTGATATCCATACCTCCTCCTCTTGTTAATAGTACCCTGATGTTTGGAAACAGTCCTTTCTGGTCTTCATCCAATTCTTCTGGGATTATCAGTGAAAGTGTTTCATACTTTCCCTTGGCCAAGCAGTAAGCAAGAGATCTAAGCTAGTCTCATTAGCTCTTTCTTCTCTGTATGGAATTCCATCTTGAGTGGAGTAACATGAAGATTAGTGTTACCAGTCTGATGCCCACTAGCTCATGCTACCTACATTCCTACCCACCCAGATCAGTTGTTTTTCTCTCCAGAATCTGGATCATTTTTTCTATTATCTATTGTTATTAGATATATTGGTTAATTAATCTTATAGCCTTCTAATACATTCTAAATGCTTGCTCTTCAGTTTGCATGTTCAGTTAGCTGATTTTTATCAGTGAGCAAGTGCTATGTACCAAAACAACCCCCAATTACATTTATTCTGTAAGTCATGATTCTGTGAGTTGAAATTGGTATCGGGCTTAGCTGGGCAGTTTGTCTGGTCTCAGTTGGCTCCCATCACCATCAATTATATATCATCTACCAGGTCTCCTGAAGTTTCAGGATATTGCCTTCCCAATTACGACACAGACCAGTGTGACTTGTTACCCACTATACTACTGTTTCCTGCTGCATCTAGTAGCATTTGCTAAAAACATTTGCATTTGCTCTTCTGGGATATACATTGAATTATTGTATGTTGTATTTTCCTTTTATGAAGCCAGATGACTAACAGTGAGTCATCCGGCTTCTGGGCATTTGCTGGCTACCAGTTGGAGCAACCTGCAGAGTTTCAGGAGTGGAAAGAATTCTGGACCATGTGTCTTGTCACCTAGCAGGCTGGCCTGGGCTTGTTCAAATGGTAGTGACAGAATACCATGTGGAAAAGTGAAAATTCATAAGGCCTTTTGAACTCAGTGTGGATCAGCACACACTTGCTTCTGCTGTTTTCTATTTACCAGATCAAGTCAGGCAGCAAGCTTAGATGCAGGATACATGTGACCTCTTAATGAAAGTAGCTGCAGTGTCACAATGTGGATAAGTAAGGATAAAGGAAGCGGAATCATTGAGGACACTTAACTCACCACGCGGCCAGTTGGTTTCTGTACATATAGCTAAAAATTCTGATGTGCCAACAAAAAACCTTTATATATAAAACCTTAATACATTGATATTCTCCCGTAACTTTCTTGATGTAACTCTGATTTTGGGTGCTTTGGGAGCCAACATCATCATCTACAGGTACAAAGCATAACCTGACTTTTATTACTAATCCCACTACATAGTGTCTTAAGGGGACTGCCTGACATTCCTCTGTATTTCTCTTCACTGTGCAGTCTCAAAAAGTCATCACCATCAATTATATCATCTACCAGGTCTCCTTAAGTTTCAGGATATTGCCCTCCCTGTTATGACACAGACCAGTGTAACTTCTTACCCACTATACTACTGTTTCCTGCTCCATCTAGTAGCATTTGCTAAAAACATTTGCTTTTCTGGGATATACATTGAATTTCTGTGTGTTGTATTTTCCTTTTATGCAGCACAGCCTCTTGGTAAGCTATATACATCATAGAGTGAGGCAAACACTAATCATAATGTGCTCTGCTGTAGGTATTTTTTACCAGTTTTCATCCAAGTTCCAAGTCAGCCCAGCCCTCTTTAGGTTTGCGAGGTCTAATAAGATCATAACACAGGGTGGTATGGCTGCAGGCAGAAAATTCTGCTTGCCAAATGCATTTTCCTTTATAGCAAGTTCATAAGTTAATGCAGGACACTGAGACGCCATGCCTGTACACATGCATTTAGACAGAACTCTCTTGAGTTGACTGACTCCCCTTCCAGCCCCTGACTTCTCTGAGATGGTGCCAGACGGTTGGTCAGATGTGGCTTCAGTGCTTCCCACCCTCTCAGTGTGAAATGATAATTAATATGACTTTACAGTTAAGGGGGTGTTCTCTTTCCACTAATAACACCCATTATTCCGGGGTGTTTTAATTTGGTTGTAAAAATTGACTCTGGAGGTGGAACTTGGCTTGGGAGCTTATTCTAAGAGCAAATGGTTTGTCTCTATTTTTTTCTTTCAAAAGAAAAAAGTTTTTTTTTTTTTTAAGAAAATTTTGTATTGTTTTTGAATTAGATAATCATTAGACCAAATTTCCAAAGCATTGGTATGATGTTGGACTTGTACTTGAGTTGGTCTCCTTTTTTGGTATCTCCACCAGACCGCAGATCGCCCAGGGCTTCTCAGCTAGCTTAGGCATGGCAGGGCCCAGATCTCTGCCACGTATCATCAGCTGGGATTGGAGGGCATTCCTTTCTTATTGTTTCTCATACTTCAACGTCAAAGTCTCTTTCTTATGCAATAGTTTATGCAAGCTATTGACTGAATAAACTTTTGATACTAAGAGGCAATGCATTTTTATATTATATTTTAACCGGTATTTTGCTTTCTTATTTTAGATCTGCTGGAGGAGACTCATAGAAAAGATGAAGAAATGGAATCTCTGCAGGTAAATTCTCCAGTGGGCAGGTACCTTTGGTTTAAACATTTGTTTTCACTCTGTTAGCCTTTATCATAGTCACATTCAGACCACTATGGCAAATGGAGTTTAAAAAATAATCTTTAGAACCCAGCTTGGAATTTACTTTGCTTTGGAAGTGTTTGAGAGCATTCATAATCTCTGGAAGCAGGAAGTCAACTCCATCTCTATGTACTCTTGAATGGAACCATTTTTTCTTGGTAGAGCTTAGTAGGAACTGCAGCATTCAGAAATGAAACAACATCTCTGTAAAGTCCTTTCCCCTCAAACAGAGCTAATGAATGAGAATGAATTCATGGAATCTGCATTTTCAAGTGAAATCAAAAGTATTCTGACTCTACAAATATCATGATATTATTACCAGTGACCAACCAAGAATATTAACACATCTGTTGAGCTTAATACTTTACCTTGTATGCCTCTCAATTCACTATGGATGTATGCACATTTCTTGGACTGGAAAATTGTGTTTGAAAGATTGCGTTCAAATTTTAATTGACATTTCCATGGTATGAGCAATTGATGTTAACTTAGCATCTGACAGAAGTTCTCTCTTCCTTTTACATAGGCTGACTTACAAATGGGTAACTTGAGTGTCTATCTTGATTAGGGGAAACATAATCAGTTATATTCACATGACAGAACCAATTCATTTAACATCACACTGGGGATTAAGAACAGTAAATACTTTGGACATTTAGAGTTCTTCCTGAGCCTGGAGCCGCAAGGCGGGGCTAGAGACTGATATAATGAGCTAGCTTGAGTGCTTTAGGGGTAGAGATGTTTGCTTCTGGTGAACAAAGGACAGGTTAAGCAAAGCTCACAGAGCAAGGGAAATGTTCTCTTATTGGGGATTCTTTTATTTGATAATGTATCTGGTGAGAGAAAATTGTATAACTGATCTGAAAAATGATTCAGAGGAGTGTAGTATACCTAATAAAATACCTAATTTTATTACTGCATACCTAATAAAAGTTGCATGTGTTAGCCACAATTTATACAGCTTAAATTCTTTTAACACCTTGTGCTATATTCAGGTATAAAAAGAAAGAGCCCTGATTGGTCCAGTCTGGGGCTAGGGGAAAAAATCTCAAGTGTATACTTGCCCTGTCTCTGAGAAATTAATATCAGCAATACTTGTTGTTATAAAGAGTGAAAGTTTATACACTAATTGTATATAGTGAAAAGGTGATAAAGGCTTTCTGATGCCTTTTGATTATGCCCTATGTTTGCCTTTAGCCCCAGAATACCACATATAAGCATATTTATTGAGTACTTAGTACATATCTGGCCTTTTGAAATGGCATCATAAACCTTTTTGAGTTTATTTCTCTCACAATATGAATGTTGGAACTAGAAATCCTCTTAAATTTAATAGCCTGTGTTGCTTCTCAAATATTTATTAAGTACCGGCAGCATTTTCCACCAGAATGTCCGCTGAGTGCAATGGAATGCACCATCCAACTCACTATGGGCACTTAAAGATGTAGAGTATCCAGTGTGAGGGCCAGTGCAGAAGAGTTCAACATTGGCACTTTGTGGTGGCAATTAGTGCCTCACATGAACACTCTATTAAGAGCAAAGACGGGAGTACCTCAGAGTGCACGGGAGTGCAGAGACACATCCCAGAAAGCCGTGCACTTTAAAGACTAGAAGAAAATGCATTGCAAAATACCTCCATTCGTGAATTTCCATATGCAAATATAAATAGTACAAGAGATATTTTTGAGAAGTCTGTTAAAGTATACAGATTGAAGTCTGACAATCACAGAAAAAGACAAAATGGTTTTTAAAAATGATAGCACAAAGTACTAGATGTTGACAACTTGGCTCTGCTTCTGATTCACTGGGTAACCTTGAGTTACTCAATTAACTTTGCTGTGCCTATTTTCTCATCTGTAATATAAAATCATAAAACTGTCTTCCAGAAGTGTTTAGTGTGGATTAGATTATCCCAAAAGGGAGAGCTAAATATTTAATTCCAATTTACCACATTAGCAAATCCCCATGTATCCAAATTGAAGTCAATTTTATTTACTCATTATCATCATATAATTATGTATAACAACCATTCTGCATTTAACGTTATCCTCCTTAAGGGTAAGGGGTGTTTATTTATCTCTAAACACTTCCCAGTTTCTAAAAGTCAAAGGTGCTCCATTTTCTCATTGAAGAAATATTCCTTGCGCAGCAGTTCTGTGCAACGCACTGTACTGGACAAGCTGCTTATACTGGGTAGTTTGTTGCCCTTTTATACCAAAATTAATGAAAAAATATTAAGTAGGTGTTTATAATAAAATATTAAAAATTATGTTAGAATGTTTATATCATTGTGGGAACATATAACAGCCCTCATCTTTGTGGGAGATAAGGGTATGTTGGGTGCAAGTACAGAGGGTTGAACGTGGGTAGGAAGAGCAGGGTTGGAATGGAATCCAGGTAGGCTTCTCAAAGGAAGCCAGTGTTTAAATGATAACCAAGAGTGAGCGCTGGTAGTTGTAGAATAAAAATAAGTTCTAGGCAGTAGGAAGGATATGGGAGGACCTAAGGAATCAAGCTCATTTTTAAGGACCTGAGAGACTAGCAATATGGTGGAATGTAGCATCTGAAAGAGGAGAGGCAAGACAAGAATTTGTAAGATAAATTAGAGGTCTAAAAGATCTCATAAAGGATTTGGAATTCTATCTTTAGTGTATGAGAAATGCTTTAGGAAAGAGTTTCAAACAGGACAGCAGCATGATCAAATTTGCATTTTTACAGAGTAACTGGCTGTGGAGTCTGAAATCACTGGGGGTGGGCAAGATTGAACCAGAGAGACCGACTAGGCAGGTGTTTGTGAGAATATTGGGAGAGATGATGCTGACTTGAACTGGCTGGTAGCAGAGAGAGTGAGGAGGAATGGGTGGTTTCTTAGTATATTTTAGGGTGTAAAAATTTAGGGCACTATTGGACTGTTGCTGTTGCTCAGACACTCAGCCATGTCCAACTCTTTGCTACCCCATGGACTGCAGCACGTCAGGCTTCCCTGTCCTACACCATCTCCCAGAGCTTGCTCAAATTCGTGTCCATTGAGTCGGTGATGCCATCCAACCATCTCGTCCACTGTCACCCCCTTCTCCTCCTGCCTTCAGTCTTTCCCAGCATCAGGGTCTTTTCCAATGAGTCTGCTCTTTGCATCAGGTGGCCAAAGTATTGGAGCTTCAGCTTCAATATTAGTCCTTCTAATGAATATTCAGGATTGATTTCCTTTAGGAATAACTGGTTTGATTTCCCTACTGTGCAAGGGACTCTAGAGTCTTCTCCAGCACCACAGTTTGAAACCATTACTTCTTAAGTGCTAGCCTTCTTTATGTTGCAACTCTCACACTCATACATGACTACCAGAAAAACCATACCTTTGACTATACAGACCAACCTTTGTCAGCCAGGTAATGTCTCTGCTTTTTAATACACTTTCAAGGTCTGTGATAGCTTTTCTTCCAAGGAGCAAGCGTCTTTTAATTTCATGGCTGCATTCACCATCTGCAGTGATTTTGGAGTCCAAAAAATAAAGTCTGTCACTGTTTCCATTGTATCCCATCTAATTGTCATGAAGTGATGGGACCAGCTGCCATGATTTTAGTTTTTTGACTTTTAAGTTTTAAGCCAGCTTTTTCTTTCTGTTCTTTCACTTTCATCAAGAGGCTCTTTAGTTCCTCTTAGCTTTCTGCCATAAAGGTGGTGTCATCTACAAATCTGAGGTGGTTGGAATTTCTCCTGGCAAACTTAATTCCAGCTTGTGCCTCATCCAGCCTGGCATTTCTCGTGGTGTACTCTGCATATGATTTAAATCAGCAGGGCGATAATATGCAGCCATGACGATCTCCTTTCACAATTTGGAACCAGTCCATTGCTCCATGTTTGGTTCTAACTGTTGCTTCTTGACCTCCATACAGATTTCTCAGGAGGCAGGTCAGGTGGTCTGGTATTCCCATCTCTCGAAGAATTTTCCATATTTTGTTGTGATCCACACAGTCAAAGGCTTTGGCATTGTCACTGAAGCAGAAGTAGATGTTTTTCTGGAACTCTTTTGCTTTTTTGATGATCCAGTGAATATTGGCAATTTGATCTCTGGCTCCTCTGCCTTTTCTAAATCCAGCTTGAACATCTGGAAGTTCTCGGTTCATGTACTGTTGAAGCCTGGCTTGGAGAATTTTGAGCATTACTTTGCTAGCATGTGAGATAGTGCAATTGTGCAGTAGTTTGAGCATTCTTTGGCATCACCTTTCTTTGGGATTGGAGGGAAAACTGACCTTTTCCAGTCCTGTGGCCACTGATGAGTTTACCAAATTTGCTGGCTTATTGAATGCAACACTTTTATAGCACTGTCTTTTAGGATTTGAAAGAGCTCAACTGGAATTCTGTCACCTCCACTAGCTTTGTTCATAGTGATGCTACTAAGGCCCACTTGACTTCTCTATCCAGAATGTCTGGCTGTAAGTTAGTGATACACCATAGGGGTTATCTGGGTCATGAAGACCTTTTTTGTATAGTTCTTTTATGTGTTCTTGACACCTTTTCTTAATATCTTCTGCTTCTGTTACATCAATACCATTTCTGTCTTTTATTCTTCCCATCTTTGCATGAAATGTTCCCTTCAGTTCGGTTCGGTTGCTCAATCATGTCCAACTCTTTGTGACCCCATGGACTGCAACAAGCCAGGCCTCCCTGTCCATCGCCAACTCGCGGAGTCCACTCAAACTCATGTCCGTTGAGTCAGTGATGCCATCCAACCATCTCATCCTCTGCCATCCCCTTCTCCTTCTGCCTTCATACTTTCCCAGCATCAGGGTCTTTTCAAATAAGTAAGCTCTTCACATCAGGTGGCCAAAGTATTGGAGTTTCAGCCTCAGCATCAGTCCTTCCAGTTAATATTCAGGACTGATTTCCTTTAGGATGGACTGGTTGGATCTCCTTGCAGTCCCAGGGGC